ATCGGGAAACAACACATAGACAGAGAGAATGATTATAATCCATGTCTCATGTCTATACGATATCTAGAATGGAGGAATATATGATCCCTTATCTAAAGGACGCGTTGCTGATAAGATCAGAGTTCGACATCGGCTTTTGAAAGCTACGAATGCTAATCAGATTCTAAAGTCGTACTTGCAATAATAGTTATTAGACTTATCCAAGTGGGAGACTGTTGGATTAGGTGTCTAAACTCATAACTATTTTTGGTATGTACTTGATTTGATTATGAGCATGGTCCTTTTCGGTTGCCTTCACTCATGCAACTTGATAGGATGACAAAAGGAGAGAGAGTAGAATTTATTATATGAATAATAAATTCCTACTGAAAATGGTTTTATTAATATATTACATGATTAATATATTATGTGGAAATAATATTATTTAATTAGTATTGATCATAAATTAATTTGGAATTAATTTGGTCAAAAGAGACTGATTAAATAATTGAGGGACTATTATGCAAATAACTGATAGTTGCAAGTTCGGCTATGGACTCCTAATAGAAGGGGTTGGACGAAATCTATGGGAAGCCCATAAAGATTTCGTCCAAGGGGCCTTCTAGAAGGGTTGCATGGATTGCTTAAGGCCTAAGCAGAGAATTAGGGTTTCCACCTGAAACCCTAGCAACCCATACAACTATAAATAGACCCTCATACATAAGGATTTTGGCCATATGTGTGTCTTTGAAGGAACCCTAGCCGATTTCCTCCCCTCTCCTAAGTCATCTTGTTGGAAGAGTGTTTGTGACTCCATTAGAGGTGCAACACTTGGGGCACTAAGCTTTCAAAGGTGAAGGAGTTCTTATTATTACTACATAACAAGTTGAGGTAATCATTCTAACTTGTTTATTATGTCAATTTCGAAATAAGCATGCTAGATTAGGGTTTATTGCTTTGGTATTCAATGTTGTATGTTCAAATTAGAAAAACCTAGATCAAAGCAATTAGGGTTGCATGTACACCATAGGAATGATGTTATGCTCATAACCCAACAGATATATCTTGGTCTAGATTGACGCTATTGAAACTTTGCAATGTGTCCCCTCAAAAGAACAGACGAAATTCAAGGAGGAGTAGCCCTTGTGGTGTATTAAGGGCAGCGGAATAATCCTATTTTTTCAACATAAATTATGGATTAGATCATAGACGGAGGACCAAAGATTTGAACCGGAGACAGAGGGCCATAGATTTTGAGTTAAAGACCCTAGAGACCATAGGTGTCCAAAGTATGGAGTTTACAGAGGTTGGCTTGAACTTCATAACCTTTGGGTTGTATACATATGCAGGCTCGTTTTCAGTACATATAGATCTTGTGTGTTTTGTAAGTTTTAATATTCCAAAATTCGTAAAACCTTTCTGGTCCGTGTGGTGGACATAACTCAATTACCTTAATCATGTGAACCATGGTTAAATTTTTGTCGTACTAGACCCTAACAATTCATACTTATATAGATTCAGTTAGAATACACACTTAACGTTCTAAAATTTATGTTACAAGGGTGGTGGGCATACCACCACATCAACGTCGTATCAGCAAGTCACTCAACTTTTCACGTCATTTCACCTTTTCACTTTGGAGGGCATACTACCACCCCACACTTTCACAAACATTTTTATACTATTTAAAAACATTTATGTTAAAATAGCCTTATAAATATAACAACTAACAATAATAAATATAAACAATTTATTGAATATAAAATTTGACAGCATGGTTGAGTATATGGTTGAGAGACTTTTATGATAGTTCTATAAAATGATTGAGTATATACAAAAATATAAAAAAAATGCTTAAACCATGTAAACTTTAT